CTTTGTACCTTATATTAAACAAAGAACTTCAGGACTAGCAGCTGCTGTAGTCAAGATTCATTCACCCCACAGTTCAAGAGTTCACCAGCAGATGGAGCTGGAGCGGTGAATAAAACAATGCTAAGCAAAGACATTTCTCCTCATACACTAGAATACACCAGCTTAATTGCACAGATAAGGCATGTTATAGAGCTTTTCAAATGTTAATTGTGTTGTAATAATTGTGTTGTTAATTGATTACTGATTGATATTATTCATAATTCCAGCTATGGATGTGCCAATGTCTTCTTAACAAAAGGTAAAATGTAGCTGATAACTCAAAAACTACTGCTACATGACATCACAAGGTGGAACAGAGCATTTTGAGCTTTGGAGATGTAAACAGACTGATAATAGAGGATTACTCAGACATGTGTGAATGAAACAAAACACAACTCCAGGTATGTTTTTGACGAGATAAAAACATATTGACTTAAGATAGTGTAATAGCTCCTTTGACAGAAATATTCTCTATTTTTGCAGCTCTATTTGGCTATAAACGCCTCTTGTTTATCCAGTATTGGCACCAAACAAAAAGCCAGTGTTGTTGACATTGCCGGGGGATGTGGTCTCAGCCTCGGATACATTTAGCATATATGAAAGCACAGAGCCCCGTCCTCACACCATCCTCACTGTGTGCGCTCACGAGACAGACGGAGGCCGGCGCCACTGACACGGCTCATCAGGACAACTGTCACTTCAGCGCTCTGCCCCTTAAGAAGTGACAAGGCCCCTCACTCACGGGCACCCATGGGCACCCAGCGAGGAGGAGGAGGGGGAGGAGGGGGAGGAAGGCTCACGTGATGCCCTTTTTAGAATACAGCTCGGTTCGGATATATCCAATGGCACACGTTTGTTTTACATGTGAAGAACTTAAGCAGCAAGTTGTTAAATTTGTTTTTTAACGTAATGATGCTTTTTTCAGATGGATACAGAAGAGCGAGTATTTTACATTTTAAGTCATTAGTGAGGATGTTTAAAAATATCTGTGTAATCCCCCAACTGGACTGTCAACTGGACAAACGTTTTAGAGTGAAGACATCTCAAAGCTTGTCTAAGCTGCTTCTTCAGTTCTGGTCAGACACTGGTGGACACTTCCTTCTTTCTGTCTGAACGGAGGAGCTAACTACAATGAAACTACTCTGAAACTAACATACCTACTTGTTTACAGTGTCTGTTTGCATTATTATATTGGCTGTCATAACTGTTTTCCCTGTTTTTATTTAGGTCTGATGATGGTTCAATATGTAACAATAACCGAAATATCAGATATTGTATCGTCAAAGTTCTCACAGTAATATCGTGGACCATCACGATATATCGAATCACAAGTCTCTTCAGTTAGGCAGCAATAGCAGCAAAAACAGCAGAGGGAACTACCATGATCCTTTGCTCCATTTCAGTGTAAACTGCAAGAAGAAATAACAGTTCTAAGCACTTTTACGTCTTAGTTTTTCGGATTAAGTCAAGGCATTTTAAGAGGAAAACATTGCAATAAATATCATACCGTGAGATGTATATCGTGAAAATATTGTACCCAGAGATTTGGATATTGTTACATCCCTAATCATGAGCCTCCCCACAATATCGTGAGCTTTAATATCATACTGTGAGGTACCGTGAGGTTCATACCGTGACGATATCGTATCGAGAGACTTGGATATCGTTACACCCCTATGGTTTATAAACAGGAGATAAATTATGTCTATTGACTTTTTCAAATTAATTTAGCTCTGGATTTGCAGCCAATCTGTGTTTCCATGCTCAAAACTGCACTTCAACAGATTTGCACAGATTTTTTTTTTTTTATTATAGTATTTGATTCTGCATTTTACAAAAATATTGGAGTTTTCGTTTAGACTTCATTATATTTATTAATTTGAAATACATAAGATTTATTTCTACGTTTTCTGATTTTTGTAATTGTTTGGTAATTGGTTTTAAATAAATTATTACTGATTTAATTCACTAACAGTTTGCCTTTTTTCAATATTTTTATTATTTTACATACTCATTCATCTTGTAAAAGGCCTACTAGTTGGGCCTATCCTTTTAGTAGTAGTAGTAGTAAAAGTTAAAAAAGTTAACGTCAAAATACCACACTATAATTATATAATATAACTAAATTGCTAAATATTTTGACCTAAATTGACTTTTCACTTTATTTTCAAGCAAATGTGAAATGAAATTATCACTTAAGAATTTATGGTGTAGAAAAAAAATCTAAATTGGCACTGGGTTATGCAGCTTATTACACTGTTTTTGTACTTCCCTTTTACTTCCACAAGAGGGCAGCACTACGCAAGTAACTACAAGCAACACTGTTTTAAATCTGCATGTGAATGTGATTGTGGAGATCAAATAAGACACACAAAAAAAGAACATTGTACAAAAATTGAGTGTATTTTTCATCATCAACATCACTCCCATTGCATTCTCATATACGCATATATCAGACGTTATAACAGTGGGAAACAGGCCTCTAATAATACATCTCATAGTAGGTGAAAATACTTTTGTGACTACTTCATTGCAATATACTGTATCTATAGAAACAAGCAGGTATATTGTGAGTTATATTTGTTGCATTATAAATAAACAATAGAAAATTAATAAAAATTCTAGACTTAACTACTTCAAGTAAATGTATTTAAAAAAAATACTATATACTACTATAACAGCCAAATGGGCATTGGAGTCCACAGTTCATTACAGGTAGATTGTTGCAAAAAATAAAAATAAAATAAAATAAATAAAAGTGACAAGTAAATCAGTTTGAAAAAAAAAAAAAAAAAATCATACACAAAAATAGCTGCTGACAAGACATAATAGAATGCATATAAAAATAATTTAAGCTGCGTGGCCCAGATGTAAACACACAATGTGAAAGTAGAACATTAAATAAAAACAAAATTCACGTCTTTCATAAATAGTGCATGACATATACTGGAATACACTTGCAGTTGCTTTCATACTATCATATTGTTATAAATAGGGTATAAATACACTGCGATGCGAATATATTGTGCAGTATTTTGGTCAAACAATATAGTAACATTACTTTTTTTTTAAAGTTTTAGGTCCAAAACAGTTCAGCAGGTTGAAATTGACCAGTATTATTTGTGTTTTTGAGTTGCCCTTTTATATTTAATTGATGTTCACATTTTTGAGCAGTGGTGCAGTACAGGATAGTCCCAGAAGAGGGCAGTGAAGCTAGAAAAACAATCACATTTTGCTAGTGGTAAACTTTCTATATATAATCTAAAATGAATCACAGCCCGCAGTATTTTCCTCTTTTTAAAAATTTTTATTTAAAGGTGAGCTTTGTGACTTATCTAATGGACGGTATGTCACTTACTTTTCTTTATGGAAATGTCAGTACTTTGCCAAGAATTTCCCACAGTATGGCATTAAACTCATATACAGTATCCCCATGGAGCCAAGCAGTTGATGTCAACATGCCAAGTTATCAGTCAGATCTGTGGAGAGGCTCACAGTAAGAAGACATGTTTTTCAAGGTTATGAATTTTAGCAATAATAAATGTATTTATAGTATTTATTTATTGAGCTTTGTTTGCCCTATTGTAACTCAGAGGAAACCTACGCAGTGATGGGGAGAACATACAAACGTTCTGCATGTTTTGCACCTAGGACCTTCTTGCTATGAGGCGAGAGTGCTAACTGCTTTGCCACCGCGCCACACAAAATGTACACAGCCAAGTTTAATGCCATACTGCGGAACATTGTTGGCAAAACAATAACATCTCAATGACACAAGCAAGTGGTGGACCCCCAGCAGAAAAGTGACTTGGTGTACCTTTAATTAACATGTTTTTTGTGAACATCAGTGCCCAAACCCAGATGTGGGATCAAGTCGTTGTTTTGCAAGTCTCAAGTAAGTCTCAAGTCTTTGACCTCAAGTCCGAGTCAAGTCCCAAGTCAAATACAGGCAAGTCCAAGTCGAGTCTCGAGTCACTGGCTCATAAGTCCAAGTCAAGTCCAAGTCGTCGTTTTTGAGCTTCAAGTCTTTAAACCAAATGTAGCTTAGATTTTTGCAACTTGTATGAATTTTAAACTAAATTGTACTTAAAAAGTCATAGTATATTTATATGTGCATATTGAGATTTGTTTAAATGCAATTTTTTCCTTTTTAAATGTCTTGACAAGATCTTTTTGTGAATCATTACGGTCAGAATAGAAAGAATTCAGATTTAAAAGTGCTAAATAAGTTATTTTGTCATGTAGTCTGCACTGAAGTAGAAGGATCATGTTCTATGTAGTTCCCTCTGTTTTACTGTATTGTACTGTATATTACTGTAGTACATTTGAGGATACTAAATCACAGTACTTCAGTTCCTGTTGCCATAGTTACAAATAAAGAAGTGGGAGGGACATGTTCCAGTTTGTTCCTGTCAAATTAAGCACTGCATTTATCAACTGTAAAGAGAAAAGTATTTTCTAAAAAACATATATTTTCTTAGGAGATATTTATGTTTTGATTTGTTTTTATTATGATTTTAATGTATTTCTTATTCTGTAAAGCACTTTGAATTACTTTGTGTACGAATTGTGCTATACAAATAAACTTGCCTTGCCTAGGAGAAGCATCAAATCTTCTCAAGTTACAAGCCTCAAGTTCAAGTCAAGTCCCAAGTCACTGACCTTCAAGTCCAAGTTGAGGCCCAAGTCTTAGTCCATTTTATCAAGTCAAGTCTGAAGTCCTAAAATTAGTGACTCAAGTCTGACTCGAGTCCAAGTCACGACTTGCAAGTCTCCAACTCTGCCCAAACCTATACTTCATGTGTAAGCCTACACAATGCATTTGTTTGCACAGAATACCTTCATTGTATCACTTAATACTGTGCATTCATTCAGTCACTGTATCTATAATAGAACTATTCCAGTAATACATATAATGGTAAAATGGTAACAAGTAAAAACCTAAACATGGCAAGAAAATAGAACACACACAGTTTGTATCTATCGACTGTCACTGAAGCACTTGCAGCCATTGACCATAGCCACACTGGACTCCTGGTTAACGCTCTCCTTCACCTCTATGGGGAGTGAATCGAAAAGGTGGTCTTCTACAATGAAACAGCTCTTTCTGAGGAGGCTGCACTGTCCAAGCTGAGCCGGCAGACGGTCCAGACAGTTCCCTTTTAACTCCAAGTGCGTGAGTTGCGTCAGCTGACCAATTTTCTCCGGAATGAAGGAAACGCAATTGTTCCCAAGGCACAACGTCCGTAATTTGGCGCACTTGAAGAGCTGCTTGGGGATTACTTCCACTTTGTTGGCGGTGATGGCGAAGTGTTGAAGGTTTTGAAGAAAACCAACTTCTAACGGTATTGAGGATATGGTGTTGTGGCTGAGATCCAGGTAGCGTAGTTTGAGAAGACTGAATAAAGAAGCTGGGATAGATTCGAGTTTGTTATGAGAGAGGTAAAGCGATTCCAGATTTTTGACGTGGCTAATGGAAATGGGGATGGTAATGATTTTGTTGTGCCATAGTTTGAGACAAGTGAGTCTTTTGAGGTGTTGAAAACTGATGATTTCTTCAATGGAGCGAATGTTATTGGATTTCAGATCGAGTTCTTGCAGGTTGGTCAGGCTGAAAATGGCGTGCGGGATACGCTCCAGTTCACAGTTGTGTAGCTCCAGTTCGGCAAGATTAATCATTTTCTTCAAACTGTTCAGAACGAGCAGTTTCGTGCCGTCATTGTGGACCACCAACTTCAGCAGATGTGGCGACAGATCCGTGATGTTGGTCGGGATTTTTGTCAGGTTGCTTTTAAGATGAAGGATTTTCAAATGCCTTAGATCGCGCAAAGATTCAAGTCCGATCAATTTGTTGTTTTCCGAGTTCAAGTTCCCAACTAAGTACAGTTCTCTTAAATTCTTCAGCATGTACAACCAGCTCGGGATCTCTGCAACATCTGTAAATTTGACGTGAAGGCATCGGAGGTGGTCTCGTAGGAAAATGAAAGCGGTTTGCTCGACTTTCGCTGGGCAATGGTAGAAATGCAGCTCTTGTAGATTAACCATTTGTGAAATTTTTGCAGTTATCCTCGCTTCTGGGATAAGTTCTAGTTTTAGTATCTCCAGATCGGTCAAATCGAAAACAGCGTCCGGCACTCCTGATAGCATGAAAAGATGAAGTTCTAGCTTGTCTTGGGGATTGCGGGTCACGTGTTGCCTTAATTTCTCAAAAGTCCATTCATTGTTCAAACTGATCTCTCGAAGTTTATTTTCACTCACTTCGGACAAGAACACCCCAAATCGCTTCGAGTACAACTGGTCATACTGGTCGACCATGTGAAGTAGAAACGCAAAGTCATTCTTAACATCGGGGATATCGCTAAAACTGCTTTCTTCTCGAACTTTCTCAAACGAATACTCTTTAAGCGGCCGACGGAAAAGCCAGAAAAGCGTGTATATGCATATGACTCCGTAAACGCATATTATTGCTATGTAGCTTACAAGTAGCTTCTTCAACATGAACGCCATGTTGTGTGTGCACTGGAACTTAGCGTACCCAGTGAGGTGTTTGATTTCAGGCTCGCACACGTGATCGAAGTCAATGGATGCGACAAACGTCATGGTGTAGCATAGAATGAGGATAAATTTAACCGTTTTGATGACTGTTTGAATGGCGTACAATCTATAAATCAAGTCACTGTCCTCAACGTGCGCGCGAAACTTGCGTACTTTTTCGAACAACGCCTTCGCTTGCTCGCCGTCCTTCTTGTCCAAAATGGTCATGGATGGGATTTCGCTAACTAGCTTCTCGACCGAAAACGTGACACCGGATTTGGTCAGCACCGGCGCTTTGGTTCGGACTCCCCTCTTCACTGCTGGTTGATAAATGTTTGAGTAAAGTTGACGCACCCGCTAACCTTTGCTTGTTTTCCTCCGAATCCTCACAGGCGGTTTCAGATAACGCTTTCGTCGTCCATGGAGATTCAAAACATTTTCCAAGAATAGAGACAAAATGCTCGACTTTGGAACTCGTTTTGGGGTATTTGAACCAGAAATTGCTGCTAACCATTAAAATGATGGTGTGGATAAGAGCGAGGTATGGAAAATACTTAGAATACCACGGAAGCGCAACATGGTAACACATCTGGTTGACGAAAACGTATTGCTGGAAATCCAACTTGGTTCGTACGCCGGTTGGATTGGGCTGTCCCACGTATTCTTGGTGATCTACGGCTCTCGGAAGTCTCCTAGCGATGAGGGGGGCTGCCTGTTCACCCATTGCGTTCTCACGGTTCCAAAATCCGGTGTTGCTTTCGGTGGGCTCGGGTCTGATAACACCTCCGGACTCCTCTGGGTTTGGCTCGAGAACCGGAAGACAAACCACCTGGTCCTTGGTGATCTGCATGGTCCCGGAGAAGATGGCTAACATGAGCATGACGATGCCCAGGTAGTCCATGAAAACGTCCCACCATGGTTTGAGGATGCGGTACGTCGGCTGGATGTCGTTCAGAGAGGCGACTTCTGTGAGGGTAAACATTCCTGCAGAAAAAGAAGTCAAACAAAAAATATAGTTTTGAGAAAGATTAACATTGTTTTGTTGTAGCAGTTATTAAAATACATTTTGAAATATGTCAAAATATTGCAATGATGTGGTTGATGATTCTTGTCATGTGTAATGTTAAATAAACATAGTAGTAGTAGTAGTTTATTTTCTTCGGTCAATTAACATAATCATGCATCATGTAACAATGATTTAACAAAAAACTAATTATTCAGTTAATGTATATCAATAAGGTTATTCTATAGACCGAAGGGGTTTAGGCTGAAGCTTAAGACTTGTTTTGCCAAACCCTATTAACATATAGAACAGGATTCAAGATGGCAGAACTTTTTTCTGTAAATAGTTCTGTAAACATCATGCTCTAAACCAGTGAAAATATTCAACTATGCTTTTCATTTTCAGCGGTAACATCAGGACCACCAATGCAAATCCTTTATTTTTATTTTATGTATGTGTTATTGCTACTTAGCCAATGTGCAACTGTAGTCCCTGGGTATAAAGATGACAAGCTTCTCCCTCTCTGTTCCTATTTTTGCAAATTGATTCAGAACATGTTTTAAATTTGAATCCCTGTTATTCAGGAACTCGCAGTATTTATCCAGTCTTAGGGTCAGCACAAAGGGTAGGCTTTAGTGACTTGTGTGTCCCCTGTGGCTGGATAATAAAATGATTATGCCGCAACTATAACAGCCATGACCCATTTCCTGCGCCAGTGTGCAGCTGTTCTAATGAATCAGAATAGATTTTGTATTCATCAATGTATTGATGATTACACAAGTGTCTTTACATTTTTTTAATGTATGTTCTTCTTTCATCTCACAACAGTAGAAGTAGGCCACAACATGGTACATTTTGTACTGCAGTATAGCTTTAGCTTGTTTAGTGTACAAAATAAATGTCAAGCCCGCATCTTTAGTACTGATGAATAATTTAACCTATACCTTCCTATGGGTCAAATTTTATGATATTACTTATTGTAAGTCTATTACAAGACCTATATGACCATGTAGATAGTGTATAGGCCTGCACATCGATGTACAGAGAGCAGGCTACAGTGAAAATACTGCCCTTGAACTAATGTACATTGGGTCAGTGAGCACACATGTCCAGCCAGCACTGCAACGCACAACTGTGTCTCAGACTGCATCATGCGTTCATGCGTACAAATCTACACAATACATAGGATAACTTCACATCATACTGGTCGTTGAGACAGTATTTTGAGTACAAAATAAATGTTGATAACACACAGGCCAAGTGAAACCATCTCGTGTGGACTGTAAACAAAGTGCACCTATAACCTACTGTGGCAGATGAAGCCTCTCCGATTTAGCCCATAAATCAAAACAAATTAGAATAAAATATCACTTTACCTCACGTTTGTGCTATGTTTGGATGCTGCAGTGTTCTTTTATAGAAGAAGGTCACTGTTTACAATGAGTCTACACTATTTCAAAAAGACTATACATAACAGGCTGAGACCGGCTTTGGCAGCCCGGCGCATCCATCCGCGCTCAGGAAAAAGGTGGGCCAGCGACGCGTTCTGGAGCAGGACCGCCCCGTAGAGAGGCAGCCCCTGTCCCGTCGTGGTTCATGGGCACCTGTTTTATAATTCCTTTGTTATGTTTCCTGTGCTCCAGTGGCCACATGACCCTTCACTTGAACGATTCGACATTTACCAGCTGCGTAAAACAGACATAATATGCGCACAATAACCAGGATAACGTACCTTCGGGATGTCCGTCCGGTGTGGACAATGTCGCTACCGCAGAATCTCTCGTTTATTTGTCATGCTTGAGTCTCGGAGTGTGTTTATTCTTCCCCATAGTCACCACAGCGGGCCGTGTGAGCAGGATGTAAAGCGGCTTAGCGTGCATCCACTACCCCCATCACTGCCTCAGATGGTCGGTTCCTCCTTGTGACTAGCGACACAGACAGCTGCCAGTGCCCAAGCTACGCTCAGCTCAATTCAGCACACGGACGCACAGGAACAAAGCGTGTCACTTTCTCATTTCTGCTTTCTGTTGGTTTCTAACACGGAATAAGACCAAATGTGACTCATAAAATGCCCGTTCTGTATGTGCAGCGTCTGGGATGAGACCGTAGCCTACATCCTGGGCACAGTCGTTAAAGGGATAGCCTAGTGCTCACATTCACAACACTGGTACTTACTATAATGACCACCATCACTAATGCGACTACTACTATTATTGCTTCTACTACAGGGTATCCCCTGAATAGAAACAAGACTGTATTGTCCTCATACTAGATTATAAAAAACAAGCTGAACAATAAATCTGTACTTCAAGTTACTCTTTTTGCTTGCTGAACCAAAAGCAGCCTAACTGTACTGCTAAAAGTATAGTTTAAAGATTAAATACATGTAATTTTTTTTTTTTTTTTTACTCCAACATTGACAAATTCTATAAAAAAACAAACATAAGCCTGCATATTCAAATAAGGATTTCCTGTAAGAGATATTAAAGGGTTCATATTGTGCTATTTTCTGATCAATGTTATGTTGTTTACTCATCAAAAACATCCACTGAGTTGTATTTTGTTTCATTCACACACGTTTAACACTAGGGCTGAGTATCATTAAGAGGTTGCCGATATGATGCATACATCGATACACTGGCCATGATACAGTACATAGCTTGATACAGTGCACTTTCAATTCGATACGATATATTTCAAATCGGTTTGAGATGGTTCAATAAAAAATAATGGCTAAATCATGGCTGTGATGCTAAAAGTCTTTGTTAAACCACTTCATATGAAACACGCCCATTTCAATCACCAAAACAGTGAAAATGTCAAATGTGTTGCATAAACGAATTTCCTTCCACTAAAGCAACAAAACTGTAGAACTGTAACAAAATACTAAATAAAATAATCATCAAATATACCACAAAATACTCTTGATGATGTATCAATACAGCAGACCATGATATCGATAATGTATCATCACATTAAACGATACGATACATGGGTATTTTTATATTTTTGCACAGCCCTATTTAACACACAAATCCTTCATATTTACCGTAAACTGAGCTCTTCTCTCAAACTGAAAACACTCTGTTTCACCTTGTGGTGTCATGTGGTAATACAGGAAGTGCTCTGCTGTATTTTTAAACTCCATGCACTTTCTCTTGATTAATTTGGATGATTTCAACTCTGGAACTGCCAATCTCTGCCGAACTAAAAATAAAAGTTAGGTGTTAACTTCAAAACTATCGCTTCATGACATCACAAGGTGGAACAGAGCATTTTAAGCTTTGGAGATGTACACAGACTAATAACAAATGGTTACTCAAACATGTGTGAATGAAACAAAACACAACTCCAGGTATGTTTTTGCGGAGGTAACAACATTATAACATGACTGAAAGATCACAGAAGGCCTAAATCTTTCCTGTTATTTTCAATCAGATAAACGGAAATAAACAATGACAGTCGAGATAAAATACTGACATAATGAGTCATGTTTAATCAGATGGCATTAGTAAATATATCTAGTTAATAAAGTTAATTAAAATAAAAACATAATGCATAATAATAGGCTACACATTATGAAATTTAACACGGATACATTGCTTCAAGTCTAGTGCAGTTTCTTTGGATATAGTAGCTAAGGCATACGTCTAAAAGTGCAATCATCTTTTTCTATTTAGTTTTGTTGTAACAGTCTTAAGTCAAATGTATTGAAACAGCAATGCAAATGTTTAGCAGGACAGAAAAATACAGCTCTAGTTCTAGTGCATTCATGGAGGTGTTTTTGCAGGGTTGCGGAAAGGACTGGTTATATCAAGCAGCAGCCCCACCTACTGGAGGAGAGCAGAAGTGCAGTTGGATATAATCTAAAATATATCAACCACATTTTAATGTATCTATTATTATGGTACATTTACAGCTTATTCTGATTTTTTTGTTTTACAGTGCCCCCCAATAATTGCTCCACTTAAAAAAAAAAAAAAAAAAAAGTAGTGATGTGGGGAAACAAAGAATATTTTTGTCACACTTTTAGTGGATTAGAATTTAGAAGATTAACGATTTTCAGTTTCCTTTTAAGAGGCGGTATCTCAGTAATTTTGCTCATTCAAAATATATACAATTTTGTTTTGAACTGTTTAATTGCTAGGGCAACTGTGCTAGATTTTCATAACTCTGAAAACCATGAATAGATGCCCATGACACATCCTTTTCCAGGCTGACTGGCATCCATTCCTCTGATGTTGGAAAGTCAAGATAGGATCAGTATCCTGCCCATTGTTCTGTATTCTCTGGACTGAAATAAAACAAAACTAAATGTGAAGTCTGAATGGACATATGGTACATTTTGTTTATGTATTTCTATTTTTTAAAGGTGTATTATATAACGTTTCTGGTGGAGCATCCGTCACCTGATTGTTTCTGTGGATATGTCTTTGCTCTCCCTTGAATGTTCCACAGTATGACATTAAACAGATCCATCTTTATTAAATTATAGGTGGTTTTATTGCTAAATTATACCTAGAAAAACAGGCAATCTGACTGTGAGAGCGGGCTTGAGTCTCCACAGATCTGACCTGTAACTTTGGTCTGGTTTCGTCTCCATGAAGATAAAAAGGTTTAATATCGCACTGTGAAACAATAACATCTCCATGTAGACATCTGAAGGACACTCCATCTTTTTTCATTTCAAAAGTTTATAATTTGTTCATATTTGTCTGGGGTGTCAAAATATTGGAGGGCTTTGTACAACTGTTATTTTTGACTTTATGTAAGTTAGCTTCGGTTAAAATTCAACACAGTCCTTTCAGACAACAAAACTGCAACTTTACGTTTCATAATTAACAAATAAATAAAATACTGAATAAAACAATAAGTAACACTTACTAATACTAAAATAACACTATACTGGAGTTAGAAAGAGCAGTAGTGTGTAATACTATGCAGTAAAATGAATGCTGAGGAGGCATTGAAGGCAGCAGGCACTATGGCTACACTATGGCTACACTAAGGCGCTTCACTCCGCCTTCATTTGGTCCCTAATATCTGAAGGCAAAGTTTCAAAAAGAGTCTCTTCCACGATGAGTCCACTTCGCTTCAAAGCCCGGCAGTACCCCAAGTCCTGTGGAAGCATCTCAAAATGGTTCCCTTTTAAATCCAGGTAAGTCAGCGCAGATAGGTATGAAATCTTTGGCGATAATATTGATAGAGAGTTCTTCCCTAACTTTAACGTTTTGAGTTTCTTGCAAAAGAACAGTTCGTCTGGTAGAGTTTCAATTTTGTTACACGTGACTGAGAAGTACTGTAGACTTTGTAGCACGCCGACTTCTGGAGGAATGAATCGGATGTCATTGTTGGACACATCCAGGTAGCGGAGCTTGTTGCATAGGAACAAGTGCGAAGGCAAAACCTCGATCTTGTTATGGCTGAAGTTGAGGCGTTCGAGACTACTTAGCTTCTTGATGTGCTCTGGAATATACGCGATGCTGTTATACCAAAGTTTAAGGCAAGTTAGTTTACGTAGGTGTTGAAAACTGATGATTTCTTCAATGGAGCGAAGGTTGTTTTCTTTCAGATCCAGCTCTTGTAGACTTGTAAGGCTAAATATCGCATGTGGAATCCTTTCTAGATCGCATCGCACGATTTCCAACTCTGTCAGGTTTGTCATTTTCTTCAAATTATTGAGCATGACCAACTTGGTGCCATCATTGTGCAAGTACAGCCTCAACAAATGGCTTGAAACATCAACAATCGATTGGGGTATTTTGGTCAAGTTGCTTTTTACGGAGAGGATTTTGAGACATTTCATTTCTCGCAAAGACTCCAGGATGATATTCTTTGATGCGTCCGTGCTCAAAGGTCCGGTAAGGTAAAGTTCCTCCAAGTTGCGCAGACAATACATCCAGTTTGGAAACTCTCTGCTGTCATCGAACTTGACGCGTAACACTTTCAGGTTCTCTTTGAGGAAGGAGACGGCCGCCGTGTGCATCTTTAAAGAGCATTGGCAAAGAGATAGCTCCTGAAGATCTTCCAGTTGCGAGATTGACGCCGATACCGTGACGTTGTTGATGATTTCCAGTTTGAGCGACTGCAACTCTGTCAACTCAAAAACGGTGTCAGGCAGACCGGGTAGCATGAACAGCTGAAGTTCGAGCCTGTTATTGGCGTTGGTTTGAAGTCTCTGCCGTAGCTTCTCCGCAGTCCATTCGTGGTTCAAGTTCAGCTGTTTCAATTTGTTTTCGCTGACTTCTGAAAGAAAAACTGCAAATCTTTTCGAATACAGCGGGTCGTACTGGTCAATCATGTGCAGCATAAAAGCAAAGTCATTTTTAACGTCCGGAATGTCACTGATCCCTGTTTCTTGGCGTACGTATTCAAAGGAGTATTCTTTCAGAGATCGATAAAACAACCAGTAAGACGTGTAGAGACTTGTTAATCCGTAGACGGCCACAAGGCACAGATAGCAATAGGATAGCTTCGAAAATAAGTGCGCCATCGTATGATTGCACTGGAACAACTTGTAGCCAGTCATGTCTTGAATCTCAACCTCGCAACGGATTTTATTTTGGACTTTATTCACAAGAGTGCTGTTGTACGCGATGATGAGTAGGAATTTGATCACTTTGAAAACAGTTTGTCTCACGTACATGAGGTAGAGAATATCACCTTCTTCGACATGCAATCGGAATTTTTTGACTTTTTCGAAGAGCGCTTTTGCTTGTTCGCCCTCCTTTTTGTCCAGCACACTAGCCGCTTTGTCAACTACTATCTTTTCAGGTATCGAGCGGAGAGATTGGGTCTTCTCCAGGCTGCCCTCTCCCGGCGACATCGCAATATTAGATCTTGCAATGCTGCTCTTTTGGTTCTCGCTATCTTCAGGGTTTTCTCCGGACACTTCGGACAAAGCTCGGGTCGTCCACGGTGAATCAAAACACTTTCCGAGCATTGAGATGAAATGCTCTATTTTGGAGCTCGATCCGGGAAATTTGAACCAGAAATTGCTACACACCATAAAGATGACAGTGTGGATGAGGACCAAATATGGGAAATATTTGGCGTACCAGTGCAGGGCCTTTTCATAACACATTTGATTGATGAAGCTGTATTGTTGGAGGTCGAGATCAGTTTTCAGGCCTTTCATTTCTCTTAGCACAGTTGAAATATTAGACTCCAAATGTAGCACTTCCACCTCGCTTGTGTTTTCTGAAGTGATTCTTCGAGGAAGGCAGATGATTTTGTCCTGCATGACCTGAAATGTGACAAAAAAAGACAGAATTTAGATTTCTTCAACTGATGGTAATACAATGCAAGTGTAACTGGAAATATTTTTTGTCAGTCTAATGTTAAAGCGTTAAAACTTTTGTGAACTTTAAGCCATGTTATGTTGTTACCTCATCAAAAACATACTTGGAGTTTTGTTTCATTCACAGATATTTGAGTAATCCTGCATTATTAGTCTGTCTACTTCTCCAAATCTGAAAATGTTCTGTTCCACCTTGTGATGTTTTGCCTTTTGTTTAGTAGAGATTTTAAATTCCAGGGCTGAAAATGTCCAAATATTACAGTGAAGGCACATAGATTTTAAAAACACAGTAAAGTTCTTCTTGTAATACCACATGACATCACAAGGTGGAACAGTTTGCAAGAAAAAAACAGCCTAAATATGCAGGATTTGTGTGTTAAACATGTGTCAATGAAACAAACACAACTCCAGGTACATTTGTAATGAGGAAAACAACATTATAACTATGCTCTGTGTAACTTTACTGCCACCTAGAGCTGCAACATTAATCGAAAATCAAAATTGCAATTTGAATGGACGCAATTAGAAAATCAGTACAACAATTTCCTTCACAAACACAATACCCAATGCATAAAACTGCTAACGCTGTAGTTTAGATCTGCACAAATATATTCTGAAATGTGATTCTTGTATTAGTTTGTCAGTTCATAATTTTGTCTTTTCTTCTGAATGCGTTTAAAATGTGAACTTTGAACAGAATCCTATTTTTAAAGTATAATCGTAAGGCTTGTCTGAAAATCACAACTGGACATACTTTCTAAATCGTTCAGTCGTTTGTCTCCATGGAAATGTAATTACTTTGCAAAGAATCTTCCACAGTACGGCATTGAATTTCTCCCTGAAGACAAGCAGGAGTCGCCTCTAGGCCAAATTACAGGTCAGTTAAGGCTAAATTGTAGTAAGAAGAATGCACGTGTTTCTATGTATTTTCAGTGGTAAAATAAGTAATAGAGTAAATGCAAGATAGAATATTTTAATGCCGCATTGCAAAACATTTCAGGTAGAACAATAACATCTCTGTGGGGAAAACAGTTAAGGCCAAATTATAGTAAGAACTGAATGCATGTTTTTCAGTGTATTTTTGGAGATAAAATACATAATAGAGTAAATTCAACATAGGTTATTTTAACATTAACATTCCAGGTAACATAACAACATCTCTATGGAGAAAAGCAGACCAGAAAAGTGACGTGATGCTTTAAATTTGCATTCAAGAGCAAGTGAAATCAGGTCAAATCAGGACAAGAGTACAAGAGTACAGACAGCGCAAAATCAGACATCAATCAGGATTAAATAAGAACTTAACCATGCCTAGGCCAAGCTGAGCAGTGCAGACCAAATCTGACCCATAAAGTGCCCGTTCTGTATGTGCAGCATCAGTGCAGAGCAGTGAAAACAAGAAAGCTAAACAGTAACTCATAAACGAATCCCGAGAACCATCAGAAGAAGCCAGTGGAACAGCAGCGTTCTGATACAAGCCACAACGTTTAATGTGATGCCAGCATAAATAATGACTAACAGATGCAGAGAACAGGAAATGGGCACTTACAGTAGATTCTATGGCATTCCTAAAGTGCAACCATTTTGTTTCTTATATTCAGTAAAAGCATCCTTACATAAATCTGCTACTGTGAAATATTGTGATTAGTCAGCACTAGAGGCCTAATTTGTTTAGAGAATCAGTTCAAGTAGAGCAATCAAAATAATGCTTTTTATCCCAAGGCCTTTTATCTCTGGCCCCGCTGGAATCTTGCGGGCTTTCATGGTGGTTGCTATTGATCTTAAGTTTATATAATTAATTTAATTTTGCAGTAACAACATAGGTGATGCTTTGACTTGGTGCAGATCTTTGTTTCCCAAAGACTGGGTTGCGCCCCTCAGGTGGGTTGCGAGAGATTTGCTTTGGGGTCGCCTTGTCACTATCTGCATGTAGGTTTGCAATATACAGGTGTATACATGGATCTGTGACCTTATCGTCATTCTGGATAAGTATGTCCTCAGTAGGGCCACTATTTCTATGCTTATGCCTTTCACTACTACATATATGTGTGAACTGGGATTTTCTGTGCTCACAAAAATGAAGACAAAGCACAAAAACAGACTGAATGCTGCTCCTGATCTGCTGTTGCTCTCTCCTCCTGCACCCCGGACTGGAACATGCTACATAAACGCAGACAGGCCCAACTATCTCAGTAAAAATGTTGAAATGTTAAGACACATTTCGTATAATTTCTTATATTTTTGTAATTATTATATTGACTATTTTGTTCCAATATTGCTGGTTCAATTGAAGGTTGAAAAGAAAAAGAAATGGGCTACATTTAATGTCCAAATAGGCGACTTTATGGACCCATTTATTACTGGTTCAATTACTGTTTTTCATTAAAACTTCAGTAATACTAATTGTTCAGGGAGACACGATCACTCAGTCAACAATAAAATATCCTGATTAATTTTCAATAATGGTCAAATCCACCTATTTTGTGATTTACAAATAACATCTATTGACTTGAGTTGCGAAGGTTTAAGACTTTTAAAGTGTGGGTCCCCAGAAAAAAAGTTTGGGAAACACTGGTTTAGATAGTTTGAAGAACACTTTTGCTAATGTATACATTGTTAACGGAACAATTTTAACAGCTATGGGTCCTGCTAACTGTGATTTGTACAGTCTAATAAGTAACTTCTTTGGCTCATTACCTCCGCCAAGGAGGTTATGTTTTTGCCAGCGTTTGTCTGTTTGTTTGTTTGTTTGTTTGTTTGTTTGTCTGTTAGCAACATAACTCAAAAAGTTATGGACCGATTTTGATGAACTTTTCAGGATTTGTTGGAAATGTGAAAAGGAAGAACTGATTTCATTTTGGGGGTGATCCGGAAGAAATCCTGGATTCTGGATCACTTTGAAATTTTAGTTAACATTGTGGTAAATGGGGTCAAAAATTTTGTTTCTCAATATCTCGGTTAAATTATTGACCAAACCCCATGAAATTTGACTCAGGGATGGACAATGGGATCCTCTTTCATATTCCAAAGGCTGATCCGGATCTGATCCAGAAGACTGATTTTATCGCAATTTATATAAAAAATGGGGGTAGTCCTTGGCGGAGGTCTGCGCTCTCTGAGTGCTTTTCTAGTTATAAATACTAACAGACTATTTCAGTGTTAATTGTTGCATCCCATCTTTTTAATGATATTGCACATTTAGAAAAGTGTTTACTGGAATTATTTTGGGTTGGGGGTATTTTACTTCCATGGGGTAATAACTGGTGACACATAACATATTTAGATCACCACCCCTTGGCTGTCCACGTTAAGTCACAGTAGTATCACAGTGGTGTGCTCTCTAATCAAACTACTGCACATCGTGTCAGGTTTGTGAAGCTATAGTGCACCGTTTTGTCTCATGTTTTTGTACAGTTATGGAAAATTGTCAAGCGGGAGCATGGGTGATGTGGGCTTGTCCACTAAGAATAGCTAACCATCTTCAGACATGTTTTTGAAGAGGGAACAAGTTTATAGCATGGTAGAAAGCTCCAAAAATCAATTGTGTGTACTACTCCCTCTTTAAACAGTAGTGATAAGTGCTTAAGTAGTAGTTAAGTGTTTAAGTGCTTTTCATGTGACAGGCTTCATAGACCAGAACTATCCTAAATTATAACTGCACCAGGACTGAACCTATCCACATGAAAACCGTGACTACACAGGGAGGAATCTACAGTGAACCCCACCTAACCTCAGCTTTCTCTATCCTGTCTCTACACTAGACTTTTCCATATCCAAAGAAGGTCAAAGCTGAAATAATCTAGGGGAAAATTATGACTAAACCAGCTCTGGATCTATGCAATATTCAGCGGAAACCAGGCAATTCAATAATGGCCTGAACTGAACCCAACTAAGTGCTTTACGCAGCACTCAGTAAGACCCCCAGAAAACAAACGCATTACATTAGCACTTAACTATGACTCTGCTTCTAACTGTATTGTTTTGTTGCTGCCAAATCACTGCCTTGTTTGTTAATATTACTAAGCAACTGTGAGTTTGGAGACTGTACCTATGACTTTTTCTTTCTCCTGTTCAATAGTCACAGCTAATCATCCATATTTGCCATATGTGTGTAAAGGAGGGGCATATTTGGAGTTTTGGAGCTGATACTGATCAATCACGGAAGTATAATCAAGTCTGGAAGGTGAACACAAGATGGCGTTGTATTGTTTTCAATGGTCTGTGCTCATTGGTGCATGGGCCCAAAAATTATGTTCTTTTCTGAATTACTTCCACAATATGGACAAGCCCCTCCCACCTGTGTAGCATCAGTAACGTGCACGGCGTGGTGCAATTTGAGCGAGAGCTGCTAGAGCGGAGCTAGTGCAGGCTCAGAGCGGGGCTAGTCTAAATCTTACAGAGATAACTTTTAGGTGTTTTGAGGATTTAAACATTTAAAAAAAAAATCATGTTGTGAAAATAGAGAAGAATCCCTACAAAATCCCATGTTTGTGAAAGTTGTCGATGTCCTGTCAGCCAAACATGCAACAGATTGAATTCCCCCCAAAATACATTGTGTCCTATGTTAGAATTCTTTTTGGGCCCAAGCTCCCAGGAGCTGCAGAACCAGTAGAGCGGCCACTAGCCTTGCCCCAGATTAGAGAGGGAATGTCTTCTCCAGTTCTTGTTATTGATCCATCATACCGATATATGTTGGTCGGCAACATTTTTTTAAATCTGGGAAATAAATTCATATTTTCACTAATATAGTCTGCTGAAAAAAAGACAAGTGTGACACACTGAGGACAGACTAGGAATCACATGGTCACATAGATCAGGGTAGTGCAATAAATATTGGCTCAGTTTTCTATATCGGACCGATACTGATATCTGGAGAAGTCCTTCGATATCACCAATCTCACTAGCCAGGCTGGCGCCACCTAGTGCCTCTGCTCAAATTCATTTCT